GAAGGAAGGAAGGAAGGAAGGAAGGAAGGAAGGAAGGAAGGAAGGAAGGAAGGAAGGAAGGAAGGAAGGAAGGAAACTGGACATCAACAGGAATGTTTTGTGTTAACCTGTTCCCTTATTTGACAATAATTTGGACGGCTTGCCCTCTCCTACCAGCAATTTGGTGTCCCCCCAAAATAAGCAATCATTTTGCCCAATGATTTTTCCTGCCATTCTGGATATGCCACCATAGGATTCAACTTTTTGCCCCCAACTATGGTAGGAAGAGTGCAGAATGTAGACCTCAATCAATTGCCAGGCACCAAAACCCTTCATGGTTGCACAGAACAAGGCTTGAATGGGTTGATATTTGGATTAAAGCACTGAGTGGGAACCCAGGTTCAAGTGTCCACCATGGTATAAAAATCACTGCATGACTTTTATCTCCCACTTTCAAGCTGACTTATCTAGGCAGCTTCTCTGTACATTCCTTGAATGAAAAACAGATAAACAGAATGAACAATACATTAATAGTAGTAATTTGATTATTGCATGAGTATGTATGTGGATATGTACAGATTTACTATGGATCTTAGAATTACAGTGTTTATTGTGGAGCTTTTATGGTTTATTACGTTATACCATAGATGTTTTAATTGCTGTGGTATGAACTGCCACGAGTCAGCTTGGATCTGAAGGCACACAAATTCAGCAAATAAATACATAAATCCATCCCACACATAGCAAATATTTGCACTTCATTCTCCCTTCTTCCAGGGAAGAGCCTGGATTATGTATCTCCAACTGCCAGGAACCAAAAGAGATTTCCCCAGCACCAGGCTATGAAGCCGTGGACACCACTGGTCATGAATTCCTTAATCCTGCACTTGAAGATCATTTTTATTCCTTACTTCCTCTGCATATGGCTAAACCCTATATGGACGCAGATGCATCTTAAAGAAAGATGGGAAGCAAATGATAATTATGAACTGACTTTGAAGCTCCTGCCCTTGTGAGACACAGAGAACATGAATTATATTTAAAGAAAGTGGTTTGTGCCCCAGATTTGTACATCAAGGTTGGAATCTCCTACTTTCCCATGTTAGGCAGGGTTGAGCTTCAGGGTTTAGTGACCGTGGTCTAGAAAACAGATTCAGAAATCTGTTGCCTAGACCACGGTCACTAAACCCTGAAGCTCAACCCTGCCTAACAGATATTGGCTGTGAAAGTCTACACCAGTATATATTTCCCATGTTCCATGTTTGGGGTGAGCCTTTCATTTTAGAAACATGACAGTGATGGGGAGTCCAAGAACCTTACAATATTCAGTGGGACCTGCCGCAGGGAGATCTATTTATTATTAAATTTATATGCTGCCCGACTCTCAGTGACTTACTCAAGTTTCCACTGTCATCATCCTCTGGTTTAACCTTTCCAAAATCTTGATCCTTCGGTGGTTCTGATGGAGGCTGGTTTGTTTTGGAAGCTTTTCCAAAGTCATCTTCTGACATTTCTGTCACCTGGAGAGGGGCAGGGGGGAACAGTTCCAAGTGAATTCATGATGAAGTCAAAATGTGCAGTGAGTGAATAAGGCACTATTTACTGACTTAGTTCCCTGTTCCTCAGTTTTTCTTTTAAAAAAAAGAGGATTTCTGAGCAGTTTACCTAGATTTTTTTTTTTTAAAGAGCACTGGAAACTGACAGATTAGCTTGGAAGTCCTTTACTGTATTTATTTACTTGTTATATTTATGTATTTATATTTATTTACTTGCTACATTGCCAGAATCCAAAGACTCCTGTGGTCTAGCACAATAAAAGCATAAAACAGTAAAGGCAATAAAAATTCTAGAACTTTTATTGCCTTTACTGTTTCATGCTTTTAAAATTCTAGAATTTTTATTGCCTTTACTGTTTTATGCTTTTATTGTGCTAGACC